CGCACAAGTACGGCTTTGCTCCCAAGGGAAATTCGTGCGTCTTATACAGAAACCGGCAGCTACGAGAATATCAATACTTTTTGTGTCCGGAGTGGTCCGGCGGTGTCTATGGAAGTCCCTCCATAGCTGGCTCTCGGCCTGGAGCGCTGATAGCTGGATGCTGGGCCAGTATGATGGTCGTGGGCGAGAAGGGTTATATCGACGCCACGAATAAAATCGTCACCACGAAACAAACGATTGAAAACGCCATCAAGGAACATCCTATCCTGAAATCGGCCTTGGGAATATTGGGCAAACCGATGATTAGTGTGGTGGCGTTTGAATCGCTCGACTCTCAAATATCAATCTACGACGTCGCCGACGGGATGTCTAAGAGACAGTGGCATCTCAACTCGCTCCAAGATCCCCCAGGAGTGCACGTCGCCGTGACTCTACCCATGACGAGACCCGGGGCTGTGGACGGACTGATCGATGATCTCGTCGCGGTGGTCAAGGAAGAGAAGGAGAAGATTGTGAGCCAGCAAGTTACCGGTAGCGGAGTTGTTGGTGGTGCTGTAGTGAAGAAAGACAAGGCCAAAGGGACCAGCGCCCAATTGTATGGCGTTGCGGGAAGCTTGCCCGACAAGAGCATCGTTGAAAAGCTCGTCGTGGCCTACCTGGATACGTTGTACAAAGCCTGAGGAGATGATGTTGTTGGCCAGGTACAGCAGTTCAAGGCGAGCCACGATGTGATGTGGCGTATCGATGGCATGTCGTCCTGCTGCTGGCATTGAATATCAGAGGATGGGTTTGACACGCTGTCACTTGAGCCGTTAATATCCTCACCAGCCTTTTATTCTCACTGCTTTCTTATTCCGATTCTCCTTCTCCATCTATGAGTACATATATAGCGGATCTCAATGGACACACCATCGCCGAACCCGTACCGGAATATGCACTCTCCAGAACACTATATACCATACTCTACACACCATACCTCCCATATTCTATATATTCAACACGTACACACCTATCTAAGTGATCGATATCACGAACGTAAGCTTCACACACAGGACAAAGATAGAAGGAACTGGATTCAACACGTAAAATCTGACAAGATGGTTTTTTTCTTCTTCTTTCATTATCCCCGCCATCATTCGTGACGATAGAAACGGGCCGACGCTGAGTCGCGAGTGTTATTACAAGGATATTCCATTATCGTGCAATGCGGATAGAGATGGAGAAATGGATCTTCGTCCACAGCGGCGGTGCCACTCGGAAACCCGCAAAATAAATTCAACCTTCTTCCCCTTCTTCCGCTCGTGTCATGCATGGCCCTCTAGTGTGATGATGTGATATAAATTTATTTCCGCGCGCAAAGTCCCGATCTCTGAAAAATTCCTCACAATGGTCTCATGGTCGGCGCCGGAACAGAAACGTGATAAAAAGTCGGCAACATCTCGCTCGCTCCCTAACGCCCAGGTTTTATTTTGTTTGTAGCTCCATCTGATCAGTTTCGCCATGCTCGAAAACCCCGTTCGTAGTAAAGACATGGTTGGGAAAGGGCAGAAATGTCAAGTTTAAACAGTAGAGTGAGGAGTCACAAACACCGTAGGTCAATCGACATGAACATGAAACAGCCCACGAGGGCATTTACATGATGATTTGGGGCACTGGAGAAGTCTGATTAGCGTTTGTCCCGTTCGGTTCCCACAACACGACTTACCCTCGACATTGGCCTTGATGCTCTTGTGAGGGAGAACACTGCCACCGTTGACGTAGATCTCGTCCCCAATGGAAACGTCGTCACCCAGAACAGTGACATTCTCCAGACGAGCCCAGCGACCAACGGTTGATCTCCAGCCTGGAACTCAATTAGCTCATAGTCTTTGAGACATCTCCAACTGGTAAATACGTACCGATGATTGTGGACTTGACCCAGGCGTGGTCCTTGACCTTGCTGTCCTCCAGCAGCACGCATCGCTGCAAGCGAACACCATCACCGACCACACAGCCAGGTCCAATGACAACGTTGGGGCCAATACGGCAATTCTTGCCAATCTTGGCTGTGGGGTCCACCAGGACGTTTCCACCGTAGACGTAGGGTTCCGAGTGAGGGACCAGCTTCTTGGAGTTGGTTTTCGCCAGCGAAGATAAGTACAAGCAGGTTCCACTCAAAAAGTCCTTGGGTTGACCGACATCCATCCAGAAACCGTCCAGGTCGAATGAGTGCAGTTGACCGTCTTTGCAGATGGCAGGGAAGGTCTCTTGCTCGATCGAGGTGGGGCGCAGCTCGATTCTCTTGAGAATAGAAGGCTTAAAGATATAGATACCGGCGTTGATGCGGTTGCCGACGAACTCGACGGGCTTCTCGACGAATCGGTCGATTCGGGAAGGATGGTTGGGCTTGTGCACAATGACACCATATTTGCTGGGCTCTTCGACCTTTGTGACGACAATGGTGCCCTCCTCGCCGTGGGAGTCGTGGAAAGCAGCCAGTTCCTTGAAGGGGTAGTTGCAAATGACATCCGAGTTCAGTACGAAAAAGTTGGAGTCATCCTTTCCCAGGATCTTCTCGGCCAGTTTGAGGGGACCGGCAGTGCCCAGGGGTTCGGATTCGACCGAGAATGTGATCTTAACATTGTACATATCCTCATATTTCTTCAACGCATTCGTCATGACATCGGGTCTGTAGTTGACGGCCAGGACAATGTCGGTGACACCAGCGGCAGCGAGAGCCTCGACCTGATGCTCGATCATGGGCCGGTTGGCAAACTCGACCAGCGGCTTGGGGAGAGTGAGGGTCAAAGGACGCAATCTGGTGCCGAAGCCACCAACGCTGCAAAGGACAGGGTTAGTCGAGGTGGAAGAAAAAGGGGGAGAGCGGCGTGGTCGTACAGAATGAGGGCTGTTGCACGAGCAGTCAGTAACATTCACCAGAAGATGAGGGGATGTGAGATGAGACGGCATGGCTTACCCTTCATCTTGAAGTGGGACGAGACGTCGACTGAGGACGAGGTGTCGACGAAGACAGGAGGTAGTGAACGGTCTTGGTGTGGTCAACAAAGAATGAAACGTAGTTCAAAGACTACTATGTCGGTGTGCAGGCGGGTCCGGTGAGGTGTGTTGTGAGAGAGACGCACTGGTTCAAAGAGCAGAAGGGAAAGCCTGTTGACAAAGTCTGGGGGGAGGGTGGTGTTATATGAAGGCGTCTTTGTGCGGCGTTTTGCTCAATGTCACTCAAGAATTAATTGTGTTCCAAATCAGCCACAGTGTTTGATTTTGGGAAAGGGAAGGGTGAATCAATAGTAGTGGGCGCAGGGTCACGACTCGCGCGGTCAGTAGTGACGCCCCCCACCTTGGGTCACTTGTACAAGTAGGGACATAGTGCCAGGGCCCCAAGGCCACCGTGGCCAGTTGGGTGGTGAGCCTCAGCTTTGGGTTTACCCAAGCCACCGCCGCGGATGGGTTTTAGTTAAAGAGGTTAATTGAGTAGGTGGGGTCGGCAGGGTGGGCATCCCTGCAACAGTTCTCCGACTGTTAGCCAGGCATGCCAAAAGTAATGCCAGAGGTACCTCCGCGACCTCCCAACGCGTGTACCCTACGCGAGAGAGAAGCCCTCAAAAAAATTCTATCGTCCCCTTAGTTTATCGATAAGGCTCAGCTCGGCAAGCACCTAAAAGTCAACTACGACTAAACCCGGTCGAACAAATCTTAGCGGAAACGCCCATTGACTACCTCCAAGTACCTACTAGGTGCCTAGTAAAGTGACCCCCTGAAATCTGCGAGCACTTAGTCAGTCCTTATGAGGCATTTGGTGGTAACTTCTCGGGGTGGCCAAGGAGAAGTGAGAAGTGGTGTTGAGCCACCATGAGCCCTCCCGGGGATGCAAATCTGTGCGTGTCTGCATGCAATTTCGCACTCTCCCTCGGGAAGCGGACCCTTTTTTACTCATTCTTGTACCGATGTTCGAGATACCCGGTAGACATTCAAAGTCTGGAACCCTTGGCCCCTTTTTTCATTCTCCCCCTTTTAGTTATAATGCCCTCTACCGTGTACAAACAAGTGCAGGCTCAAGTACATGTACCTAGAAATAAGGCACATCTTAATCAGTCCACTCATCACGCAATAACGCCAACACGCCGACCCAGACGCTCCTGCGATTGGTTTGGTCTTTGACTGCTGCATTGAGTACCGAGTACTTGACCGCTTCGTGGGCTTCTTTTTTTTTTGTACCTCGTGATTGAATATGAAATGGCAAGGCGCCCGTAGGCCCGCGAGGCGGTAATTGGGATTGTCCTGGTTCACAACCCACAAGGTGACAAGCACATAAGCTACTCGGTACTTTGGACTTGGACAAAAAGTAAAGACACACAAGTCCCTCTCTCCTTTTGGCACTTGCTGGTCACGAGGCCATTTACTTGCCCGTCTCCTCCTCGTCTTGTTCTTTTCTTGGTCTGAAGACTTTGATGATATTTTTAGTGTCAAGCACTCGCCACTCACCAATAATAACATTGTACTTCATGTCTCTAACGTCGCGATGCGATTCGTCAACACCAGCTACCTTCTCTTTCCTCATACTTGGACAGAAAGTACTCGTAAAATACCCTCTTGGGGGAATTAATTCCTTCTGCTATTTTTCCTCAATGATCTCTTTTGATAATACTACCTAATGTACATACTTGCATATTGGGTCACGGCACAAGAACATGACTTGTACACCCAGATCTCGAAATGTTTCTTCGCCGGCAGAGTATTACTACCACCACTTTAGACTATATATACGCCGCGCAATGATACCAAAACCCATCCAATGCAGTCATGTCTCGTGACTATTACTACAATACACGGGAAGGGCGAGAGCACAACCTCCCAACCCCCCCCCCCCCCCCCCCTTTGCCATCTCAGTCCTTCTGTGTTGCTGTTATTACATCCTCCAGGTTCAGAGTTCCCAGCCTTCGTCAAAGATCGCCGCACATCTCTTGTCTCGTAGATCCTCGTGGTCCTCGTCTTCTTTCCATTCATGGCGTATCCTCAGGTAAGAACGCATAGCCGTATCCAGCCTTGTTCTTCCTTCCTCTTTTGCCTCCCGGTGGTGTTAATCCACCCCCCATCCCTCCCTCTCGTTCGCCCACAAACTCCATTAGCCAATCCCTCACTTTCTTCACCCTCAACACCTGCGGGTCCTTTCCCACATTGGCTGTCCGGAGGTTGCTCACCGAATATATACCAGCCAAATCGTCGTCATCCACTTTCTTGCGGAACAACAGATCGATCTTGGTGACATCGCCCTTTAGACTCTGCCCGTGTACTTTGCCTCGGAACGAGCTGAGTGCCACGTTCTGAAGCAACACCACATCACGAGGTTTCATAAACCGCAAACTTCGACGTAGGATGCTCCGGCTCCCTTCCGGGTTCGCATTGGCGCCGTCCTTCCAGTTCACCCGCATTTCTTTTGGCAACCACATGGAGATTGGAAAGCCGGATCTCGTGTCGTCACCCACCACCATCTCCACAAGGTCCACCTCCTTCGGTCGGCCATATTTGGCCCCTGTGATGACCGTTCTTGGTGGCGCAATGGAAATAATGCCCACAATCAAGTTGACTGTCATGGTTTGCGGCGAGATGCTCTGCAAGTACCTTGCATTCGGAATGTCTTGCAGCTCACTCAGCGTTTTCGGTCGCGGCGCTTGACTTAATCGTCTCTGAGAGGGAGTCCGAATTATTCCCCCAGGTGTACCGGGGACCTGCTGTGCCGAGAACATTTCTTCGTTCGATTCATAGGTGGGCGTGCCAGGGGTGATGGAGTCGGAGAAGTGTGAAAGTTGGGATGATGGGATGGCTTCGTAGATGGAAAAGGAATGGTCGTAGTACTCGGATAGAGGTCCTCCGTCGGATGTGTTGAACGCGCCCGTGCTGTTGGAAGCGGTATCTGGGATAGACGAGGAACCGCCGGAGAGTGAAGGTTGTGACTGGGCCTCACTAATGTCACTGCTTGGTGTAGATGCGCCGAGTAATTCAGAAAAGGAAAAGAATTCGGCGCCGCTCTGGTCAACCTCATTGGTCTCATCCTGTTGCTTGCCTTGGTGCGGGAAGGCAATGCCTGGCGCCGTCGGGCGTGCATCAATGTTGAGTTTGGGCAAAATCGGGCGCATCTGGAGCTTCTGCGTTGTAATCTGTCGCCATTGGGCACCAAACGCTTTGGACGAGGGCGATAATGGGGTCTGCGAGTTGGGTAGTTCGTTCTTGTGGGAGAGAGATTCGACGTGGGTAGAAGCCGGCAAAAGCGATTTCTCGCTCCAGTCGAGCTTCGCTGACTCGGGAGCTCCCGCCAGGATGATCATCCGGCTGGTCATGTACTGATTGAACGAAACGTAGTTCTTTTGGGAACGTCGCTGACACGGAGAGGGAGCCCAGAGCTCCAAAGAATCTCTGCCGCTGAATTTGTAGTCGGTCAATTGGGAAAGTCCGGGTGACGTTGGCGAATTTGTCAAAGGGAAATTATTTCCCCCCCTCGAAAATCCGGGATTCGTTTTTGGTCAGACCGTGACTCAGTTCCAAGATTTACTCGGGTAGTTGAGCCCAAATACCAAGACGGTAAGAGCCAAGGGGAGACCAAATAGAGCCTCACGAACTGTCCCCGCAAAGATTCAATGCTATACAAAGAGCTCAATTCGAGATCTCGGGGAAATAAAAAAGGATTTTGAGGAGAGGGAGTTGAACTGTGGAGGCGGATGTGGCGGATAATCCCAGTAATTTGTAGTTTGCTGGTGCCTTTGATGGCTTGGGTAGCTTGTCGCTTGTTTCCTGGTGACTGTTAGGCTCAGTGAAATTGTCCCCGGTGAGCCTTGACGCTAGGGGGGCAAAAAACTTGATCAGTCTGTGCCTGATCTCGACCTGCAGTTGCATTCGACGCGTTAAATTCCACAGACACCACCACCAGACCCTGTCACCCAGATCAATTGGTTCAATTGCGGGTGCGTGAGAGTCGCCGGATGATGTGAAAATCGACGGTCTATTTTGTGGCGCGTGATTAGGCAGGGAAGATGAGCAGCACCGCAGGGACAAATCACAACAAGTCCTTTGTTTTCCCGAGCTCTTTTCTGGGGGAAAGACAGAGAGGGAGGCGTATGAGGGAGCGAGAGGGAGAATAAAGAGTCGGTGACGAAGAGAGGAACCATGGGGAACAAGTAGATGGGACCCGGTATGCAGCTTGAGGATGTTGATCGATCGTAGGGGGTTCAATTGGCGTCGTCGGCTTCTGCCTTGCGGGATGTGATTGGTGAGTGGCACTGACTGCGCAGCTTCGAAGCCAGAAAAATGCATTGGCACCATCTGGGGCTTCAAGTTTGGTTGGGACGCCAAGTCAGATCCCCAACAAAGAACAATCGCGGGTTTTTTTGGGTGCGTGGATGCGTGGATGCGTTTCCCCAGAATTAAATTTGTCCCGCGGATCCAATCTACACCAGTAAGAATACAATTAGATGGACGGGACGCACTCCAGGTGAGCCGAGGTGTCAGACGCAGGCAACAGGCTGCAGCATTTTGGGGGGAAATACGAGATACGATGGAAATGGTTGGGAAGCTGCAGGGCAAGGAGGGGTACATGCAGACGGGTACGAGGTACCGAGTCCCTCGTACCTACTACCAGACAGGTACCTACAGGTATATGGTACCTCGGTTTTGGTGACAATCACCACCAATTTCAGGTACCTAATACTTGTGGATGTGCCACAGTGTCTTCATCACCAAGTCAACCCCTCGACAGCTCAACAAAGTGGTCTAAAAGGGCTCTTGGGAAACAACAGGCTCTTTGTTACTGGGATTGCAATCGTCAGACACGTCATCACCTCTCACCATCTGCAGAAAACCGCCAGCATGAACCAGTAGTAGAGACAAGCTCACCATCTGTTATCCATCATCCCATCACAGCATCTCTGCAACTACATAGTCTTGGTTTTAATCTATCGTTAGCTCTTTTCTTAGTATCCATGATATGACCACCTCCAAACTCCATGCTTTTAGGCCTAAGAAATACTCTGCTTCCTTTTTCCGTCCTCGGGTCGAATATTCTATGGTTTTAGTCGTCGAACTTGAACCCCTTTCCACCACTTATGTCAATGGCTCCTCCACGATAGCTGCCCCGCTTCTTCTTGTTCTTCTCTTTGGTGAACCCTTTGCCCCGTGTGACAGACAAGTCTTTGTATGCTCGTTCGGCATAGTCATAGCTTCGATAGGCATTGCTGATATGAGAATCTGCCGTTGCCTGGGCTGACAGTTGTGCCAGCGGAGTTGGCCTCGCGCCTTCATGCGCCTTCTTGGTCGCTACCGCCTGCTTTTTCCCTCTGTTTATCGTTGCGTCAGCTTGTCTGGCAGATGACTCGTCTGGCTCAACAACATCTCCTGTGACTGTTCCCGATGATGAATCAGATAGACCGTCGGCGGCATTGTCGAGCTTTACATGTCCCTTGGATACATCTGTGCTCATTGCTCCGCTCTCCGCTTCGTCTGCCTCGCTGGATGAGTCTTTGGCATCACCCGAGTCTTCCTCGGAGCTCGAGGAGGATACATTGCTTGAGGAACTCTCGTCCTCGTCCTCGTTGGCCTCAATCTTGGCTCGCTTTGACGGCCGATCATCTGAGTCCGAATCTGAATCCGAATCCGAAGAAGTCGATTCTGGCGAGCTGGATCGTGCCTTCCGCTTGAGGGTCGGGGCTTTTTCGCCTTCGTTCGAGGTGTTTGAAGACTTCTTCCGTGGGGCCTTGGCTTTTGCTTTGGCACCAATCTCTCGCTCATCGTCGGCATCGCTATCGGAGGACACCGATGAAGAGCTTGACGGGGACGAATCTCTCTTGCTGGGCTTGGCTCTCTTCAATTTAGACGCTGGCTTTGTCTTCAACATGTCTTCATCTGTTCCTGAGTCGGACTCGGACTCTGAAGGGGATGTGTCCTCGCTGCTCTTGACCGCATCGCTCTCTTCACTGCTGCTTGCACTGCCAGACTCTGAGTCTGACCCTGACATCGCGTCCTCGCTCGAATCCGAGGTGGTGCTATCTGAAGAGTGCTGTGTAGATTGTAGCGCCTCTTGCTTGTTCCAGTTATCAACAATCTCTTGTAGATTAACACCATCTTGTGAATCCGCGACGCTAAGGACTTCCACCGACTGCTTCATTCGTTTGAGGTCTTTCTGAAAAGCCTTGACAGCCGAGTGAAATCCATTCTCAGCGAGGAACGAGGATACAAGAGAAAGAACCTGGGTAGACGGCTTGGATGCGTCGCGACTGGATTCTGTTGAGGCCGCCTTCATCTTGGACAAGCACTGAAAATTGACTCGAGACGTCAGCGGTCGCGTGACGGCGGGACAAGCAGCAGAGTGCTAAATTGAGTGCTGGAAGCTCAGCAAAGCCTAGTTGATCCAGTAAGAAGGTCTAGGACAGTTGAGACAAAATTCACAATGGCAGGTGTTGACTGCGAGACAGTCGCACTTGACCTTGGAAAATAATTTTCTCCAACAAAATGTATTAACGACCATTCTCGGAAAGTGCGGCGAATGCGTGCGGAGAAATTTCGCTTTGACCCTCCAGCCCTCGTAGCCTGCTATGTATGTATACAACCAACAAGTCCTCGAATCGAGAGAAGAGCGTCTTCACTGTTTAGTTCTTGTATACTGTGTATGCTTCTGACTACACGTCGGCCGACTTGGTGTCCTCTTAGCAGATGTTTACCATGGCCACAGACTGTGCGACTTGAGTCGTCCATTATCGCCTGCGAGAACGGAACAATCTACCCCCGTCAGCAGCTACAATGCATACGATCCTCCTTCGAACTTTCCTCATCTGCGCACCAAACGAAGCTCAAGAGGTTTCTTCTGCCAGAAAATAAATGTCTCCTGTTCCCCCCAATCATGCATGGGTGGTGTGGTGTTCCAGCTGATGTCAAAGACATAGAGCAGTCGGGCCAGTATGAGCCGCATCTCCGCCCAGGCCAATTTCTGTCCAATGCACATATGTCGTCCTACAAGGAAAGGCTGAAAGACGGCTAGGTTGTTTCTGGCACCCTGCTTCCTGAGAAAGCGCTCTGGAATGAACTTGTCAGGTTCAAGAAAGTTGGTTGCAGATCGGAATGCTGGATATTGATTGACCGCGACAAATGTCTGAATATCGGTCAGCAAGAGCAGCGGACTAAAGGACGCAAAGATCTTACTCCGCCAGGCACCATTTTCCCACATATCTCTTCCCCACCAGCTGGCACAGTGCGAGGAACCCCTATGACGCTAGGTGGACCAAGCCGCATGCCTTCGTTGATCACAGCGGTTAGATACTCGAGCTTGGATGCGGTGGCCACGTCGATCTCTTGCTCGCAAACAAAGGCAGATCTGATCTCCTGGCTAACCCGTGACATTGCCTTGGGCGCTTCCAACAGTCCGAATAATATTGCTGCAACCGCCGAGCTCACTGTTTCACTGCCAGCAAAGACAAAGACACTCATGTTCAGCTCCAGCTCTTTCGGGGTCACCTTCTCCGCCTTCTCCTGATTGTATCTGAGCACGGCATTGACAAAGTCGGGTCTTTGCTCTTGGAGTTGCAGTCTTTGACGGACCTTTTGTGCGCTCAATTCTCGGTGATAGATCATTTTCTGGCGTACTTTGGCTGGTAAGGCATATTTCAGCAATTTCTGCAGTGGTGCGTAATGGTTGATCGAGGCCACCAGAGCTACACCCTTCCCAAAGCGACAAGCTATGTCAACCCAAGGGTGTGGACTTCCTGTCGACGTGCTTCCGAAGGATTCACCGAACGACAAGTCACCCGAGATATCAAACGTTACGAAGTTCAGCCATGACACGATATCGATTGTTGTACCGCCATTCTGGGTAGTCATGGTTCGAAGCCTCTGCATCATCAGATCGACATAACTTTCAATCAGTGTTGAATAATCCTTGATTGCTTTCTCGCTGAAAGCGCCCATGAAGGCTCTTCGATATCGAGCATGATGGTCCTCGTTGTGTCCCATGATGCTGTAAGGCTCGTCTGGTCGCGTCTTCCGAAACCATACTCCGCCTCGTTCGATGGCAGCGTGACCTGGTCTTGAGGTATAGATGTCTTTCCATGCCTGGGCGTCGATGTACGACAATTCATCAGGAGCAGTTCGGACCACTGGGCCATATTTGTCATGCAGTCGAAGGAGATCCCGATGCAAACAGCCTCGCTGAAGCGCAATCACCCACGTGAGACGGGTTGCTCGCCATAAGATTGGACCTGGGTAATGACACAGTGGATGAAGGAAGAGGTTGTATAGAAGCCAACAAACGACAATCTTTCCCTCCTTAGTGTTCAATCAACTTTGACGCCGAGGTCGCTTACCAGTACGAATGCACCGACGACGAGGATAAGTGTTCTACCGATCTCGCCCAAATCCGGCATCGTTACCGTCAACTTATCCATGTTTGGTCGAATGGAGATGGGCAACGGGCAATCTCTTTATTTGGCGGAAACGTTACTGATGGACTTCAACTTGCAACAGAGCGCCCAAGACCTTATTTTGATCGTCGTCATTATATCCAGGCTGCATACTCAGGGTTCGTGTCAGTAGCCAATAGGCTGAATTGCCCCGTCTACCTATCAGACCTTTTATGAACTGATATCCACATTTACTGAAAGCTGCAGGCTACCCCACCCTTGATCAACGGTAACATTCTCAAGACGAGGGCAGCCTTTTCCTGGAACTCGTCTGATTTACATACAACAAGAACACAAACGCCCGTTACAACCTTTGTTACTATCGTTGTCATCAGCATCACCATTATTGTAACTCCTGCGGTTGACCGTATGGCATGGACCAGTGTTTAAGAAAAAGAGGAGCAATGCAGTAGGCTCAATCAATGAAGCATGGATTTTTCTTGGGTCTTTTCCCAGAGGCAGTGCTCCCTAGCAAGAGTGCAACCTAACGGAGCCCAAAAACATCTCGTTTCTCTTGGGGTGTGAAGATGACCCTCCAACCAACCCCAACCGACATTTGCTTCGACGAAAGGTCTATCGAGGCCGAGAACTTGAGGGTAGGAGCGGCTGATTCACCGACGATGGAGTGAGGACACTGGAGATCTGCGACTCGACATTCGACGCTGGCTTTTCATTTACAGCCTGGCTCTGAGGCTGTGGTTGGAAGTATTCTGTTCTACCATTGGCCCCTGGTACTTCGAGATTGCTGGTGCCTCTCGGGGTTAAGGGCGTCGGCCCGATTCCAAGGGTCACTTCCCGATGCCTATAAAGGGTAAGTCACTGGTTTTCAATTCATGGTTATGCACTCAAGTGAAGCCAAGGAAGCCTGCGAGCAGTGATAGTACGGAGGGAAGTGGCAGTTGAAAGAAACAAACTTGAAACTTAACATACTCTGCTGCACCCCAGCTAAGTGTTCGACTCTCCCTGTCGAAGCGCGGCCTGAAAACAGCCTGCTCGTGGTCCCCTTGTTTGACCCATGGTCGATCGCCTTGTCGGTTGCACTCGACGTCATTGATTCCTGTTGCCTTTTCGTGGAGACAACTATACAGCACCGTCGCCTGCAAAGCCTGGATGCGGTACCAGGAAAAGGGCAGGTCCGTGAGAGCCCAAACGACCAACTTCATGACGACTGTCATGACGGGGATGATAATGATGGTAAGAATTGACAATGTTGACACATTGCTGCTCCAGATGACGAACGCGTCGACCCCGGGGTCGGGACCGCCGTCAGACCCGATGACCTGGTTCGGGAGACCGTAGTTGTTTGTGGAGAACAGGGTCGTATCGGTAAGCGTGTTCATTGTGGCGATATATGAGGCGAACACCAGTCGCTGCAGGTCGTCGTGGAAGCTGGACGCGCCAGCATCAAACTTTTCGCCCAGCGAAGTATCGGTGGACACCAGCGCTGAGGCCCCGAGGCGAGTGGCCAATGTCACGATCTTGGGCAACGACAGAAAGCGAGCCAAGACGTTTTGCAGTCCTGGTGAGAGATTCAGCCCAGGCAGGGACGTCGAATCGAGAGCCACAGCTGTGCTTTGATGCCCACGATACGACCAGACGTCGTTCTGCCAGCACGAAAGTGCGGGTCGTCCGCCTTTGACTATGAATCCCACGTCGCTGCCGCCATCAGCAACAGTAAGATACCAAGGATCTGTGCCGGCTGTGATGCTCTGGCGCTGCACAGAGGAGACTAGTGCACCCCAGGTCCAATTGCCGGCGGGCCCTGTGGGCGAGGCAAGTCCCTGGAAAAAGTAGCCCAGTGGCCTGGCGCTATCGTAGAATGACACATTCTGGGTGCCTTCATCGGGATCGTTGAAAAGCAGGTATTCGTCATTGATGATGTTAGAATCATCTACCGACTCGGCCAGGAGCCACGAATAGTCCGTCTGGCACGACCCTTGGACGCTCAGCACGAGGTCAGGATAATGCTGCAGGCCAAAGTCCACGCCAGTGATGGTATAGTTGTATCCAACGCGTATGACTGCCTCGCCGTCGCCCAGGTCTTGAAGCGTCTCGGGCGGATCGATGAATACATGCGTGCGGCCTGTGGAGTTGGCGACCAAGACACTTCCCGCAGCGCGAAACGCCGATGGCGCCTCGAGCGCGTTGATCTGCACACCGTTCTTCTCGTCCGGGGTGTTACTCAATGATGGAACATAGACGGCGGAGGCGGCTACGGGCGCGGCATTGTCAATGATGATATACGGCGCGACCTTGATTGGGATGGCATAGATGGCGACCACAAAACCGGCTGCCAGCACCGTCCACCAAAACAGATGGAAACGCCGTCGGTCTTTGATCTTGAAGAAATAGGAGCCGGTCAGCTTGCAGATGACGCTTGGTGAGTCCCTGGAATTCCAGATTCCCGTGGCTATCACCCCACTGTTATGGCTGTGTTTCTCCTTGCCCAGGAAGAGCACAACGCCTGCCAGAATCAGAATGACCCAGAAGTCGACTATGATCAACTGTAGCATGAAGGTATATGCCGAGTTGAGTTCGTTGGCGACATTGGCGGGTACCGCGATGGCGTCTCTGGACCCGTGCTCTGTGGGCATGGAGAAGCGGCGCCACAGGTGATAGGTTTGGCGCCCCGGATCGAGACTGGAGAAAACCATGACTGTTGTGGCTTCGGGTGAGTTTTTCCTTTGGCCCCCTTTGTTCTTGAAGAGTTGTGGCTGCTACCGAAGCTGGAGGAGAGTCTCAGGAAGAGCGTGCAAGGCTGGCAAGGGAAGTTAGCATTCTCAGGTGTCTAGGTTTGCTCTCATGCCTGGACAGAAGAGGATGCATTTTTCCCCGACGCGAGTCCTTTGGCTGAACTGGTGTCTAAATGCATCCGATACGGGAGATGCGGCTGCAGTTGAGGGTGATTCTGGTTGCCTTTCCAGCGGCCACATGCATGGCTTGACAGAAACCTTTACCCCAACAGAGAGCGAGCGATGCACCTTTTGGGGGCCAAATGGGGAGATACATTCCCACTCGAGCCAGAGCTCTCTCGAGTCGGTGCATGATCGGCGACCAAGAGCTCCGCTGCGACAACAAGTCGACTCTGATGGGTGGCCCCAATATCTGCTGGTATCTGCGAGAGCGTTCCGGCCGGGACCAAGGAAACAATGTTGACTGACGATCGAAATCAACGGTCACAAGTTCGAGAAGGACACCAATCTGGTTGGGCAGAGGAGAGTCAATACGAATGATGGGTCGGGCTGCCAGCGTGTCGATGCAAGCCACCATCGTGGTGGGTGTTTCTGGTGTGATGGATGGAGAGAGACGAGGACAGCGACGCTTCCAGGCTCAAGCCTGGACCCACAGCGTGGCATTATTCTCTGCCCTATTGGTGGATGTTTCGGTTGTGCACTGGGTACTAAAGCCAATGAACGCACAGAAAGCTGTATGTGTGGATCCACCTTGTACTATCTTACCCCCTATTGGTCACTTCGAAACTGCAGAGAGGTGACAACCAAAGTCCGGCGAACTCGGGCACTTCCGCCCTTTGAGAAGCTTTCTCTGACGACCACCCCGGATTTCGGGATTTCATCGACCTACCAGGCAGCGTCGGTGCCTACCCACAGTGCCCATGACCAAGCAGACAGACGAGCCTCACTAGCCCTTGGAGGTTGTCTCGAGTCGACAGTCCGACGCTTGTTCCTATTTACGTCAAACAACAGCCTAAAACTGCAAGCCTTTTGCCCAACTCGCGTCCACTGATACGAGACTGGCTAAAGATGCGGGCCATCCCCATCCAAGCAGTGTGAAATTCCCCTGCACGAGACTGCTTTGAGTAACCCTTGGAGCCTCATCTCGACCCTGAACCTACAACTCTTACCGAGTTCGCCGCGTACCCTTGCTCTCACTCTTCAGGTATGGTACTGTACTTGCGCTATTGACGCATGTCCACCAAGCACCCAGAGTACAGCGTACGCACGCCCATACACCACACTGCATTGCTTTACTCGACGATGGCACCATCTGCGCCGTCGCGCCGTTGCACCGTTGCAGCTCCTGCAGCCTCTGCAGAAGGGGCATCGAGCGAACAGAAGAACAATAAGAGGAGAGGGACCATTCTTGGATATGGCAGGCTGAAAACGTGCTTTCTCCGCCCAAGCCTCCATCGACGATCCCGGTTTCTACATAGTTCTCGTGGCCAGGCGGACTTTTTGGAAGCCAGTTTCGTGCACTCTGGAAAGGTCCGTCGAAAGACGGACATATAGGTAAGTCACACCCCGTCTCTCCTCTGGATTATGCAACGGTGAGGCTCTGCCGAATTTATGCTCGCTCGTTTGCAGCCAACTTTGGTGGGAAAGAAAAAAAAGAGAGAAGCACCAAAGTAGGCTCGACATCCTGCACGTTCGCTCACGCAGTCTGGTCTCCTCCTGTCTCCATTGCATTCCAACTCTGTGAGCCGCAGCTCCCAGCCTGATCATGTCGTTTCAACTCATTATCGCCCTGTCTGGGCTGGGAATTTCTCCAGTCGCTGCCCAGCACTTCCCGGCGACTGTGCCTTCATTTACCCGCCCATCCTGGACCTGGACCTGGTCGCCCTCTCCCAGTTCCTATGCCGAGCCGCCATGGTCTGAGGAGACTCCCGCGTGGACACCGACTGTCTATACTTCGGAAACTTGGTCATCCGTCGTCCCGTGGCCCTCGACATACACTCCCTCTATCTCAGCACCTACTTGGCCAGAATACTCGAGCTCTTGGGGTCCGTCTAGCTACTCATCTCATGTCTGGTCTTCGGAAAGCTTGCCGTGGTCCTCATGGCCGACAAGCAGTTACTCACCACACTCTTGGCCATCGGAGTCTCCCACGTGGCAGTCGTGGCAAACCACCGTGTGGCCGTCGCCATCGCCAACGCCAAGTCTGCCCTCATTGAACGATGCTCTTATCGCAGCAGGGGCCGCCAAGTTTGCCGCACTAATTGCATCGGACCCTGTAGTCTCAGCTGCTTATGCCGCGGGAGTTCCTACCGTCTTTGCTCCGACCGACCAATTCATTGGCAGCACAGTGAACGCAACGCGGCTGAGGAAGCGCGACACGCTCACCCCAGCACAGCAACAGCAATTGCTTCTCCACGCGACGCAAAGCCAGAGCGAGATCAACGGCCTCCGGACTCCACCTGGCGCGGTGGTAGCGACCAAGGACACCAACGCCAACCTCAAAGGAGCCACGCAAAAGGTCGTCTCGAAACCGAAAAACAGTACCAAGACGACATCCAGCAAGCGATCGGCTCCGACCCTCCTCGCCAGACAGGACACGGTGGACACACTCGTGGATATCTTTTCGGGGCTGGGCAACTCGGTTGGGGTCATAACGGCCGACATTCCTTTCGCTGGTGGAGTGATTCATACTACTGACGGGTAAGTGGAGCGAATTCATATCACTTGTTTACATTCTCAGATCTTGAATCTCTGGGCTTCGGTTCATTCAATATGTGTGTACCTCGGTCGGGTCGTCCTCGAAATGGACAATCCACCATTACATACCTGCTGAGATTTTGGACACTTCCACAGCCTCTTCACCCTGCCCGCCACACTGTCCACCACGGCCCAGACCACGGGCCAATCGACCTTTGTTGCCCTGGCCAACTCGTCGAACCAGTCGACGACCCTGGACGCCACACCTCTCATCACCGTCTTCATCCCCACCAACCAGGCCTTTGCCGCCGCAAACATCGCCCCGTCCCTGTCGCCCAGCAGCATCCAGTCCGTCCTGGCGGGCCACGTCGTGCAGGACTTTGCGGGCTACCTCCCCAGCCTGAGCAACGGGGCGAGTTTCGTGACGCAGTCCGGCACGACCGTCACGGTGACTGTCCAGGGCGACGATTACTTTGTGAACAACGCCAAGATTGTCGCGTCGAATCTGATTCTGGAGAACGGCGTGGCTCACATCATTGATACGGTATGTCTCTTAAGCCCCACCTTTTTGGATGAGTTGCTCTTGCTCTTAGCTGGCCACACATTGTTTGAGTATATGAGAGAGACTCATTGTGTGTGTCTGTGTATCTGTGTGGCATCGTACTGTTTACTTTACTAACCTTCCCCGCCCGACCGCCGGGCATTGAAATCTACATAGGTCCTCACCCCGCCCATCACACCTTACACAGGCAGCGCCGCCATCCACGAGGCGGGTATCGCCCAGTCCCTCGTCCTCGCTGTCGGCGTCATGGTCGCTCTGGTGTTGAACTCGTGAAATGTCATTCCTGTCTTGTCGGGATGTGTCCGTGTCTGATAGACGATCTTGACGATTGTGATCGGGAGAGGAGATGATGCTGTGGAGAAGCGAGGGTGCGAGGGTGCGAGGGTGTGAGAGTGAGAAAGAGGCAAGGAGAAGAGTTGCAGAATCACACAGAATACGAATGTGAGATGCTGGATATAAGGTGCTGGTTCTTACGTCTCTAAGATAGGTACCCATGTGACATGTGTGTCGAGCTTGAGCATTGGGTCTTTCTGTTTGTTGTTGCGGTTGTTGCTGTTTGCGAAAGGATGCGAAAGGAAGAGAAGGGAAATGAAACGAAGCTGAGTAATGATACATCTAGATACTTATGTAGATATCTAGATAGGAATCTAATACGGACATTTGGGTAGTCGATCAGATAGGTAGCCAGTCAGTCAGTTACATGGGCGTGATGGGCTACTACAGACCAGGCTATCCTAGCTTTAACGATCGACTAAGCACGGTACTCAAGACGGATGAAATTATGCAGGGAGGGATAGAAAGATGAATAAATGAATTAATATCGTAACCCTAGGGTATGGATGAGTGAGGAGCGAGCAAAATACCAGGTATACCGCGCGACGGCATCACGATCTGTCTGTCAACGAGCGTTGGATGATCTCTTCCATGATAACTTGTTCTTGTATATGGTTCGCATCGTGTTTGAAGACAGTATATTCGCCTCATGGGCGCGTACCCGGGCAGATCGACTGCATCTTTCGCCTCTACCATGTCATGTCACGTTACGTCAAAATGTCTCGTCCTCGATGTTCATGGCTCGACGGACAACACTCGGACTGGTCGGCTCCCCATCGCCATCCATTTTGAACCCCTCGGTCTCAATGTCCTGTGTGAAATCGAGTTCTTCCTCCCCGTAATCTATCCCGGCATTGGTCAGGATGTCCTCGACTATCCGCTTCGATGCTTCTTTGGCTGGAGTTCTCAACAGGCGATTCTGAGGGACGTGGAACTGCATGGTCTTAGGTGGGGACTGGTCGAAGAGAATGTCGTCGTCGAGATCGTCATCGTCACTGTCCCAGACCCCCGGTGTCCGGGCGGGTGCCTTCAAGGGCTGGGATTTGGATCGTGCCCGTGACGGTGTCAGAACACTGACTCCGGGAATTGGTCTCCTGCGTTCGGGCGAGGAGAATATCTCCGGGTGGAGCTCGGGTGGAGGCGCCTCTGGGCTCGACGAGAGAGTCGAGTTGCCTAGTGTGGCAGATCGAGCATGTCTCGTAGTCGAGGGGGTCCCACGAGTTGTCGATGGCCAATTTGCATAATGCTCACTTGTGAGCGGTGTAGCTTGGACGCGGTAATTTCGGTCGAGAATGCGGTGCAGCAGAGGATCCGTCCGTTTGCGGGCAGTCGATGGGCGTGGGATCGAGGTCGGTCGTGGAGGGAGGAACGGCGAGGACTGGGGAGTCTCTACGGCAATCTTGTCCATGGCAAATACTGGTCGGCCGCCAGGGGTTTCGGGCATAGTCGGTTGGGTCAGGGACGTGTTGTCGACAACCGTACTGTGGACTTCTTGTCGCAGGGCCTCATAAGGCGATGGGTAGTCTGCAAATGTAGCATTGCTTTGCTCTTGAAACTTTTGCGTGATATTCGGTCGCGGTGTGCTGCTCTTCGAGGGCGAGATGGTCATGTTGGAGAGGTCCAAGTCCTGGATTGAGTCTGTGGAGATGTGTTGCGCCGAAGGAGTTTCGTACGACTGCGACGTCTCCAAGGTGCTCTGTGTGGTGGTGTGGGTGTCTTCGGTCACTGTGGTGTCTGTATGTTCCAGGTGAGACTGTTGCTCTTCGTAGCCTGACAGGGACACATTGGCGCTCGATTCAAAAAATTGTTTCCAGAACTGCGTTTGGTCTCAGCATTGTCTCTTCCCAAATGTGTGATTGTGTCTCACTCTTGACCCCTCCCAGACCTCCTTTGAATGTGTGGCATATTGTTCGACTATAGGCAGAATGCTCGACGTCACTATGCGGTGTGCTCGACTGAAGTTGTGATCGATTTCTGCAACGTGTACGAGTCAATGGATGTGCGCGAATGAAACATGTTTCTGGTCCAAGCCAACCTTGCAGTGTTAATGTGATGGACTGTTCGAGTTTCTCGAGCTCTTCCGTCAATGTCAATGCCCTTGGCTGAGCAGCGGAACTTGCTCGAGACATTCTGTAATGCGTTGTCGTTGAGGTGTGTTGTGGGTTATGCAGTGTATAACTTCCCACGGAACTCAATTTGGAATCGCGTGAAGCCCGATGTGCCGATATGGACGCGCCGAGGCTGGATTCAAGCCTCCCACGCTGCCAACCACGTCCCACCAAACAGCCATGCGGGGCACGTACAGTAGCAGCTGGTGGCAGTAATATTGATGCCTCGTCGTTCTCCAAAAATGGCGTGGGTGGCGCAGCCCAGTTCCCTCTTCCTCCCTCCTTCCGAACCGCTGCCGCCTCACCTGTGTGCCTCGTATGATCCTTGACGCTGGTACAATCAGGCTGACCCGGTTTCAAGATATCCCTGGACACCCCGGAGGTTGTCTTGAACCACGGCGTCCTTCCGCCTGCACCCTTCCTCTCTCTCTTCTACTCTGAGAATTCTCTATTCAGAGAAATACCCTCTGGTTTATTTTCAAAATGCCAGCTCCGCTAGCCAAGGGTGAGTGTCCCCGTGCCTCGTTGCATACCGCCATCCTCTCCTTACATCATCTGCCAACGGCTCATACGATCATGTTTGAGGGTTGTCAAAGGATTCCTCATGCTCATTTCTCTTGTGGCTCGCGGGCAACACTAACCCACCATGCCTCCGATAGGAATTATCATCACTGTCTCTGTTCTGGTGGCAGCCAGTATAGCGGCATATGAGAACCCTCAAGTGCGAGCATGGATAGAGCGGACAAGACACAGAATAGCCATGGGCCTGCACTCCCTCGGCGACGAGATTGGCCCGAGACCCCATCCTCGACGCACTTCGACAGACGTCTCGATGCATGAACAGAAGGGCGAACTGGCCGAAGAGCGTCGACGTCAAGCAATCGCTGAGATCATGGAGCGAGGACGGATCATGGAAGAGAGGAGGAAGAGAAGAAGGCTCACGGATCAAGAGAAGGAAATACCGTCTAGCCCGACTTTTGATACTCTGGTGGACCAGAATGGTATTCTACTGCAACCGGCACAAGATGAACAAACAAGCCCAGCAACACACTTCTCTGGCGCCGAACCCTCGGCGCAGTCCGCCACTCTACGGCAGAGACTCGTCCCTTTGCAACGAGATCAGTCACCGCCGACTCTGCATCTGTCGACCGCCGCCTCCGTTTCTGCGAGGGAGCTCGATGAAACTCCTCCAAATCCATTCGAGTCAAGATACGAGCGGGAGATGCGCGAAGCATGGAATCTACCTTTGATTGAACGACCAGTTGAAATTCTGTCCAGCCATGCTTCAGAAAGCCTGCTTGAGCTTACACCTACGACAGAAAGTGCTCCTGATCCGGACTTCTCTATTCCGTCTGCCGATTACCTTCGCCGCCCACTAGATCGATCAGAGTATTTCTCTGTGGCGGATTCAGTCTCGTCGCATACTCTTTCCGAACATGAGTCGCAAGCATCCCTCCCGGTCCAGAGCACATATCTAGATGCATCTCGAACTTTTGTCATTGGTGCAGGCCCTCTGAATGCAACACCCCCAGCCTCGGTGACGCCCAGCATTGCTGATAGTGCAGGTCATATCAACGCCAGTGAGGCAGAAGACAGTTCTGACGACATCCTCAGCGACTTTGCAGATGGGATACGTACTCCTTCAAGCGCTTGGACCGACGTTGACAGCACCGTTAGCGGGGATTTCCACTTGTAAATACACCCACGTTGCGGCCGTAGAAGGCACTGGGCTGGAAGGTGTGCCTTTGGAGTCTGGTTATTGGTTCTTATATGAGCCCATCACTTTGTTGGATGCTGGTGAAACGTTGCTCAAGAGATGGATGATATATGGTAACCACGAACCTGTCTCTCTGTTCTAACTGCGCTCCTAGTACGTTCCATCTCTGAGCATCGTTTTGCTTCAGTCTCATTGTGACAATGTCTCCTTCCCTTTTGTGGGCCACAAACTGCAAGCTGCCATCGTGCAGATGCCACTGCTGCTTCTACGCTTTGCTTGGGCATCCGTCCTTCACCAGCATGGTCGACCTGGAAATCACCACCGTGCCAGCCGGATGTGCGGAATCTGGCACTGTGGACGCAACTGCCTCTTCTTATTTCCCCATCTCTGGCCTTTGCTTCCTTATTATCATCTTCTTTACTGGCTTGCCCTCTCATTGCTCGACTTTATCCAGCGCACTCCGACCCATAGTACTTTTCTGGCGACGGCCTCCATGCCACCGTTTCAGTATCTTCATGAATTGAATATCATTCACTGATCCAAAGGTCCATCACTTTTCTCTCCTTGCGAGAGCCCAGAAACTCCCTTTTGATGCTCCCAGGTTGCTTTCCACGGCTGTCGCTTCACACGCCGAAATCCAAGAGTCTATCGCTCATTCCCTTTGGTCCTCTCGTCCATCACTTGAGACCTTGAAACTTTCGACAACTCTGATATCCCGACGTCGTGATCACTTCTTGCACACTACCTTGATCAAGTACTCTTTGCTGAAGCATATCCGCCACCCCTCTCAACAGAAAAGCAATTTTTGGATCAAGGCTCCTTTCAGTATCTGCTGGTTTTGATTGGTGTGTCACCAACGCAAGGAAATATGGCCGAGCATGAATCTCTCAGTGGGCCATGGACGTTACCCGAAGTGAGAACGTTCGTGCCACACAGCGATGACTTCTTGCTGATGGTATAGATTATTTCCCTTGCCTTCATTGGTCCCATCATTCTCGCAGCCTTTCTCGAATCGTTTTTGTGGGTAGCAGCGTTTTGTTATTGCCTTGCAAAGGCATACATGAAGGCAGATCACTGGTCGCAAAAGGTGTTGGCTGTGCTCCTGATGGTGGCGTTCACCCTCCTCCGGCAAGTCAGTTGCTGTTTTCCTCGAGAGCTTATAATGCTAATGATCGTACACAGGGGGATATTCTTGCCGGTGATGATTGCGACGCTGCCTCTACCACAGCATCTCACACAATATTTCCCTACTCTGATGACTTCCATCCTCCAGGAGTTTGCATTCTACTCCTTTGCAGCCATGCTTGTGATCCCCTGGCTCTTCTGCGTCTATCAACTAGTTGTTGTCCCTCTTGGACGGCAAAAGCGGGTCAAATATACTCTCAATGAGCAGACCGCCCCAAAGGTGGTCGTGGTCATGCCGGTCTACAAGGAGCCACCGGACTCCCTGTGGACAGCACTGAATTCGGTAGTCAGCTGCGACTACCCTGCTGCGTGCATCCACGTGTTTGTCTCTTTCGACGGAGATGACATTGACGAGCTTTACCTGAAGACAATCGATCGACTAGGCGTGCCAGTTACGTTGAAGGACTTTCCCAAATCCATTGATGTGGCGTATAATGGGGCCCGAGTCACCGTGTCGAGGTTTCCCCATGGGGGCAAGCGACATTGTCAGAAGGCGACCTTTCTCCTCATCGACAAGATCTACAAACGATACCTTCAGGAGAAGGACGACCTCTTCATCCTGTTCATCGACTCGGACTGCATCCTGGATCCTGTGTGCATACAGAACTTTATGTACGACATGGAACTCAGACCCGGTAGTAAACACAATATGCTGGCGATGACTGGTATTATCACGTCTTCCACAAAGAAGCATTCGTTCATCACCTTGTTGCAGGACATGGAGTATGTTCACGGGCAGCTGTTTGAAAGATCTGTTGAATCGGGTTGTGGAGCCGTTACATGTCTGCCGGGAGCCCTGACTCTGCTTCGATTTTCGGCCTTTCGAAACATGGCACGGTTCTATTTCTCGGACAAGGCGGAAGAGTGCGAGGATCTCTTTGACTACGCCAAAACACATCTCGGCGAAGACCGGTGGCTAACACATTTGTTCATGCTCGGTGCCAAACAGCGGTATCAGATCCAACTGAGTACCAGCGCCTTTTGCAAAACCGAGGCGGTCCAGTCATTTCGATCTCTACTCAAGCAGAGGCGTCGGTGGTTTCTAGGGTTTATCACCAATGAAGTTTGCATGTTGACAGACGGCCGTCTGTGGAGGAAGTATCCCATGCTTTGCTTTCTTCGCTTTGCCACTGTTAGCATTCGAACGACGGCCCTCCTTCTGTTGATCACCATTATCGCGATATCAAGCACTTCGACACGGGTGGACTCGTTGCCCTGGGAGTTCATGTGCATCTCGTGCGGCTTGAACTGGTTGCTTATGTTTTACTTTGCCATCAGGCTGCACCGCTGGAAAGCTGCTCTGTATCCGATGATGTTTATGCTCAACCCGTTTTTGAACTGGGTTTATATGGTGTATGGTGTCTTCACTGCAGGCCAAAGAACTTGGGGTGGGCCGAGGGCAGATGCAGGAGCAGCAGACGCAAAGGTAACACCCCAACAGGCAATCGAACATGCCATCGCCACCGGAGACGATTTGAATATTGTTCCAGAAACCTTTAAGCCCGCTATTGAATTCCGTCGGCGCCGCACCCGACCTTCAGCACTCCAGCCGTCGTCCAGCGTCGAGGGCCGCTTCTTTTCTGCAGAGCAAGAGCCTGGACCGATGCCGGACCATGAAATGGCCTCACCGACACCATCGCATGTCAATTTCAACACACAGCAACATCGATACGAGCATGAATCTCTTGACATGAGCGATTCGGATAGTTTGTCGGTACACACGCCTAAATGGATCAATAGCTTCAGCGAAGACAATGAGAAAAGGCATCGGCCAAGTCGAGCAGTTGATATGGAATCAAGACCGAGGAGCATGGTCGCAGACACTCGGCGATTCCTGGGAGAAGGTCACTTGGCAACACGTAACATGGCAGGAGCTATCCCAGCCTTGCAAGGTTCGAGAGACATGTTCACGTGTGCAGAACACGGCAACAGTCGGCAAGAAGCGGCGAGAAACCACGAGAGTGACAACCGAAGTCCCCTGGGGCGAAACAGTCCCATGATGGCTGCCTCTGTGGAAGAAGATTTCTCTGGTCTAGACGGAAAAGAGGACATGGAGGACATAGGAAAGGCCAAGCGACAGTCGTTGAAAAGGCAGCGGTTACGGAAGAGAAGTCCAAGT